TTTTTATTTATAAAAATAACACTTTTATAACAATTTCTTTCTATCAGAATTTTTATTAAAAATTCTTATTACACCAAACAGTCACTGAGATTATTTACGAGAGCATTAATTCACGTGGATCCCATTAACCCATATTTTAGAAGTCGACGGCATTCGGCATTCGGCATTCTGCATTCTTTTATTGCCAAAAATCAACATTTAGCTCTTCATCTTACAAAATTAATAAGTTTTAATCCCTTACTTTATAACATAATAGTTTTAGTTTTTTACTTTACAAAATTGATAAAATTTAGCCCTTCATCTTATAAAATTGATAGGTTTGAACCATTTACCTTATATTATGATATTTTTAACCCATCACTGATATGAATTAAAAAAAATAATTCTTACTTAACATCAAATTATAACGTTCTGTTAGTTTTATTAGTTGATTATTAATATCTGTTAGTATTCCGTTATAAAAAATATAAAATTTAAATTCAATTTTATTTGTTAGTTTTATTAATGGAATGCTAATAGATACTAACAATCAACTAATAGAACTAATAGTCAGTTAATAAAACTGATAGTCAACTAACAGAATTAATAAAACATTAAAACTTGATGTTAAATAAGGGTTATTTTCTTCAATTCGTACGGATAAGGGGTTAAAAGTGTCATAATATAAGATAAAGGGCTAAAACCTATCAATTTTATAAGGTGAGACGTTAAAGCATATCAACTTTGTAAAGTAAAATGCTAAAAGTGTCATATTATAAGGTTAAGAGTTAAAATCTATCAATTTTATAAGATGAGGGGCTTAATATTGGTTTTAACCTTCTTTTATTTGCTTGCGCACCTTCTTTTATTTGCTTGCGCAAATTCAGTTCAGCTTTAAAAATCGGAATGCACCGTCCCACACCCAACTCACTTCCCCATGTTATTTTCAATTATTTTTAATTATTAATGAAGGCTAAATTCTTAATACGAAAGGGGTTTACTTTATCAATAATTAAATAAAATACCTTCTAGATGAAGTTGACTTTTTTTTTATTGCAATACTATATTTTTATTTGTAAAAAGATATTTTATAATTCAAATTTTATTACTAAACCGTAAAATACTGGTATTGAATTAAAAATGGCCTCTTATTGTAAAATACTATACTCTTTTCATTTTCATATTAAATGTTTTTTTAAATAGTTTTTGTAAATACTTTTATAGGCACTATTTATTTGATATGTTATCTATTTATTTCTTTGTATTAAAATAATTAACTATTGTGTTTTGAATTTTTCTTAAATTAATAATTTAAAAATAATATTTGTATTTATTTATAATACCTTTAAAAAAGAAATAAAAAATAAAAAAAATATTTTTTGTGATTAGATTATTTATTAAAGTGAATAGATAATGATAAGGTTAAAATTAAAGTTAAAAAATATTTGTTTATCTTAAAAAATCACAATTAATTTGAGAAAAATTTAAAATAAAAAAATAATTATTTTAAAATAGAAAGAGTACTCTTTCAATTTAATTTAGTTATCTCAATTTTTAAATAGTGATGGTCTAATTTAATTATCATATTTTATAGTTTAATAAAATATTAAATAAGAATGTTTCAATTTTATCTTTATTTCAGAAGAGATAAAAACTACCTTAAGATTATTTTATTTACTGGTGAGTAATGATGAAAAAAAAAATCTTAATTATTGTAATAAATAAATAATTTTTTTTAAAAATAATAATAAATAAAATAAGATAACTAAATCAAATATAAAAAAAAAAACCAAAATGTTCTCTATAATTCATTCTGTATCAAATTATATAAAATTAATCATAAGTGAACCCGGCCCTCCCTAACCTAATAGTCTTTGTTTTGCAATTTAACGTTGTTGAAAGTTGAAAACCATAACTATTGTTCTTCTATCTTATCTATTAAGAATCACTTTTCTTGACTTTTACTTCTTATTGCCTGGACATGCTAACTTGAAATTTTCAAGCCCATTTTGGAATCTCATCAGAATGGAATTTATGGGCAATCAATTATTTCAAGTTCCAACAAAATTACGTTACTGATCGAGTGATAGTTTGG